TGGGCGATTATGGGTGTGGTTCTGATGGCTTTACAAGGAGAGTGAGTGAGCAGATCAGCTCTTTTGCTCAGGCTACTTGGCATGTGATAGATACCCTTAGTCACTAAAGAGAGTAACTACCCACAAGAAGGCTTTCAACCAGATGTGTTCCCTGGACTTTGGACTTCCCAGCCTCCAAAATTCAAGAAATAAATTTTGTTTCTTCATAAATTACCCAGTTTCAGGTTTTCTGTTATAAGCAACAGAAATGGACTAATACAAGAGTACAGCAGGAAAAACACAATTTGGTTTTTCATACATGGTTCTGTGTAAAGCAAAGACTTCCTGTATTAAAATGACAACATTTTTACTGTACCATGAGATACACTGAATTAATAATTTATAGCCTGAAAGTATTTTACATCTTTGGGTTACAAAAAAGAGCTGGTAGATACAAAACACAAATTCTTAATGATCTCTGAAATTCCAAAGATCCAAACTCATTACCTACAATTCTAGCTGACTTTATAAATCACTTGAGGTGCTTTAATAGAGGATCCTGTACGGAAACAGTTATCACATTTACTCAGATTATCACTGGCATTTGTAATAATGAAATAAAAAAATAGACCAGAGCTTACCTTTTTTTTTTTTAAAAGAAGCTTTATCTGTATAATTGTACACATTAAATATAAAAACAAGTTGCAAAAAAATATAAAGTACTTTAAAGCAGTGTTTCTCAAACTTCATTGTGTATACCAATCATCAGGAGAATTTGCTAAAATGTAGGTTCTGATTCAGTGGGGTTGGGCCCAGATCCTGCCTTTGTAACTAGCTCTGAGGTGAAGTAGATGCTTCTGGTCCAGGGACCACACATTGAGTTGCAAGCCTTTAAATAAAGTCCTTGCAAATATTTCAAGAGTAACATTTAAACACACACAATAGGCATGTCAAGAGCAGCTAAAATACACGTACATGCAAATATTGCAAGAGTTGTGCTTAGGTCACTATGTAGCAGTACAAGTGACAGTACTGGAAGTAATAAGGTTTGAAATCAAACTACGACAACAGTATTGACATCATTTTCTAAAAATATTCTCTGTATTTGTCTCTAGTTTGGTCTTCATGAATTACTCTTGGTTGGGAAAATATTACTGTACCATTAAACCTAAATTACCTAGTTAATGGGAAAGAAGGATTGTGAATATATTGCATAGATAATCTATAATTTCATTTTAACATCATTTATGACCATTAGATAACATTAAATCTGCTATTAGTATAGATGGTAATAAACATAAAAATAAACAGCTTTGGGATTCATCTTCTTAATTCACTTTTAATTCTTAACAGAAGTAATGTAATTCAGTGGAAAATATTCAGATAGGCTTGAGCTTCAATTCTAGTGTGGCCACATAACAGCTGAGTGACCTTTATCTACTATTAGTCCCTGTTTTCTCATGTATAAAATTAGTTGATAATGTCCAATACATACAGTTGCAAGGAGGATTAAATGTATACTAAGCCCCTTGTATAGATATGGCTGTCCATTAAAACAACCTGTTACAAGGTAGAGTACCTGAAAAAAACAAATCTCGATCAATCTGTTTCTGAAACATATAAAAGTTATGCTGTGATATTCCCTTGCTAAAATGGGTTGTTTGGTGAAATAAAACTGACTTCTAGTTGACAAAATGTAAAATTACCAGCAATTGTATTTAGTGTTCATAATTTTTAGAAATATTATACAATTTTGGAGCTGCAATATAAAACCTATCTTCACTGAGGTATGGTATATACATTTATGAAACTGAATAAAAGAATGAGATGACTTGTAAAATAAACAAAGATTCTGAAAAGTGCCATGAAGGAAGTGAAATAGGAACAGGGACAAAGAAAATTTGCTGGTGCTCATATTGGTGGGAGGGCATTTAAAGAAGGCCTCACTGTGGAGGTGATGTTTACATCCAGACCTATAGCCTTGTTACCCATAGTATTGTCTGAAAACCTACAGCATTGACATCGTGTGGAAGCTTCTGACAAATACAGAACCTCAGGCCCCTCAGATTCCAGACCTACTGGATCGCAATCTGCCTTTCAAACAAGATTCCCAGGTAATTTGAATGCACATTGAAGTTTAAGAGTATAAAGACCTAGAGGATGCAAAGGAGCCTTATGAAGAACAGAGAAAGAATATCTGAGGTAAAAGTAATAAGTGAGAAAGCGCTGACACAGGAAAAAGCCTGTCTTATTGGAGATGCAGGAGAAGGGCCAGTGTGGCTGAAGCCTGGTGAACAATAAAATTGATAGGATTATTGAATGGTAGATGTTATTACAGGTTGGGCATCCTTAATCTGAAAACCAGAAATCTGAAATGCTCCAAAATCCAAAAGTTTTTGAGTGCCAACATGATACTGAAAGGAAATGCTCACTGGAGCATTTTGAATTTCAGATGTTCAGGTCAAGGATTCTCAACTGTTTTAATGTAAATATTTCAAAATCTGAGATATCTGAAAACCCAAGCATTTTGATAAGAAATACACAACCTGTACTACCTCTATCATCAGACATGTAAAAACTTTATTTTACATTTTATAATAAATTTAACTTTGTAACATTATTATTTTTGGTTATATTCTAGCAATTTCCCTAATAAGTAGCAGAAAATAGCCCTACAGCAAAGAAGCCTATAAATTTGTGTTCTGGGTGGGAACTGAAAATACTACCCCACTCTGAGGCCATTATTGGGGTGGAGAGAGAGTCCAGAGCTAGAGTGGGTGGCAGTGGCTTTCTGGTGTCCTGGGGCCCACGGTGAGGACAGCATAATGTACCTGCAGGGTCTGGGCTGCATAGTAGAAGTCCTGAGGTATGGTCCCAGACTTTCAGATACTCTACTCCTCAATTAGTTACATCCTTAATCCAGGTGATTTAAAAAAAAAATTTGTGTAAGATGTACCTTCCAAATTTCTTCACCTTTTCTCCTATGAATTAGAGTCCCACATCTCTCATTATGCTGGTCACCTCTTGTCAATCCCATTATAGGTGATGTCCAGAACTAACAGAGTCAGAAGTTACAGGGAAACACCTGAGCTATAAAATACCCATTGATTTCGAGTGGACACTTCAGTCTGTACAACTAATGTTTCAGTGGCTTTCTGGATAGTTCCATTATGATATTGGCTAATATATTGATTATGGTCAGTCAAAACACTGATTTTTTTCCCACTCCCCTATGTCTCTCTATTAAATTCTATGGGGTCTTTCAACAGCACCATCCTATCTAGCTCTTTTAAATATCATTTCTGTCATCCATCGTAAGCCTTTCTTCTGGCTTTGTGGCATCAGAGAATTTAATAAGAATGAACAGCTTTCAACATGAAGGTTCACTATTCTGCCTTCTCAGGGTTCATAGATGCTCTAATTCTCAGGCGCTCACCCTGCTTTTCTGTAATAAGACTTTTTTTTGTCCGAGCAACTGAAAGCTGCTGACAGCCAACAGATATTTATAAATCAGTTTCTTTGGAACATAGTGGTATAAAAGCTTATAAAAGTATTTGAACAGTTCAGCTTTCTCCACATTTACAAGGGTACACCAAAACATTCATGGAAAGATTAGTATTATCTTTTAATTCAGTTTTTCTGTGAATTTTTTGAAGTACCCTTGTATAATTCAACTACTGGGAAGATTGCAAGGCACATGACTAAATACCAACGGTAATGTAAGAACTAAGACTGGCTCTAGTTGAGGGTGCGTGTACAGAGATAGGTGGCAGCATGCCACTGGGCTGCTGGGAAGGACACAGTTAGAGCTCTGGGCTGCTTCTTCCTGAGGCAAAGTCTGGCCAGAGGCACAGATGGTGAAGGACAGAGGTGTGAACTCGTTCTGACGTGTGACAGGAGCTCAAGACATGCATACTTCCATGTTGGTTGTGGGCTAAGACTGGACTCCAGAAAAAACTGAGTTTACACATTGGAGTTATCAAGAGGCTGGCATCTGGCTGACGATCACCATCTATGACAAAGCTAGTTCTCAGGATGACCATAGTCAGGATTCTACTTCCTACTGAAAGCAACTTCTCTTGTCTATTTTTAGGTTATTGAAACTCCTTAATTTGTCCTCAAAGAGTTAGGGTAGTTAATTTTTAAAAAAAATTTGAACATAAGTGGCAAAATATCAATTATGACCTTAGTAGGAATAAATGAAGTTTAATTCA